TGTGTATGTGTGTATCAGTGCATGTCTGTGTGCATGTGCACTGGTGTGTATGTGTGTATCAGTGCATGTCTGTGTGCATGTGCACTGGTGTGTATCTGTGTATCAGTGCATGTCTGTGAGCATGTGCACTGGTGTGTATCTGTGTATCAGTGCATGTCTTTTTGTGCATGTGCACGGGTATGTCTGTATGTCTCAGTGCCCATCTGTGTACATGTGCACAAGCATGTCTGAATCTGTATCAGTGCACGTCTGCATGTGCATGAGCTTGCCTGTATCAGTGCACATCTGTGTGTGCATGTGCATGAGCATGTCTCTGAATCTTTATATCAGTGCACATCTGTGTGTGCATGTGCACAAGTGTGTCTCTGAATCTGTATCAGTGCACATCTGTCCATGTGGATGAGCTTGTCTGTATCAGTGCACATCTGTGTGTGCATGTGCACAGCATATAAGAAATAGCAGTAAGACTGCATCTAAATCACAGAAGAAACGTATCTTTCAAACTGCTCTGCTGTGTGTTCGTTCAACTAAGAGAGTTAAATCTATGTTTAGATTCAGCGAGTTAGAAACACGTTTCTTCTAGGAGCTGCGTTTGGACATTCCAGAGAGAATGGGAGTATATGCTGTAAAGAGAAACATATGGTTCTAAAACCAAAATGGAGCTATCTAACAGAATGGTTGTCAATGTGTGCATTCAGCTTACAGAGTTAAACTGATGTGTGTATCAGTGCGCCTTTGTGTGTTGGGCAGACAGGTCCCTCCCCTCGCCTTCATTGCCTTTTGTCTCCCAGACCATGCCAGGCTACTGCTCTGTCTTCCGCTTACAGCCTGTTGCCTCATGACAGACAGTGTGATGGTGGAAGGTGTCTCATGCCTCTTGTTCTCTGGGCTGATTCTGAAAGCACCAGAGCAGCTGGCAGGCTGATCACTCCAATCCTGGCAGCCTGGTGGCCCCTACTGCAGGCAGAGTTCTTTACTGCAAGCGTTCCCAGACCCTCAGGCCTGCAGAAACCTGCTGGCTTTACTGTCTTTGCTTAGCTTTTGGCCTATACCGTAAAGACCAACAGTCTTCTGTGATTCATCCTGCTGCCTCCAGAGTGCTGTGGACGGATCACTCATTCCCGATCACTCTGTCAGGCTTTCTTACCTGGCAGTGCCCTTCCTGCCTGTGTCCTTCACCTGTGCTGACTGGTTCTGTCCTGTGTGGACAGGGGTGATAGGAATTCCCACCACACAGGCTGCTGGGAAGATGGGTTCAGTTCACATCCGCGGAGGTTTTGGCTCACCAGAGGAGTTTGTAGATGTCAGTTGTCCTCAAGTCACTAAGAACTAGCACTCCTGAGGTGCATCTCAGAATGGTGTTCAAATCCATTTCACTTTTGGGGCCAAGGAGCCCTCCCTTCAGCAAGGCCACTCATCAGATCATGCCACTTCTTAGGCCAAATATAACCCCCTATTTTGTTTTTTTTTTTAATTTCTCAGTAAGGCAGAGTTTCTTAACATTTTGTGAGTTACAGATCACTAAAATTTGGGTGAAAGCCAGGTGGGCCTTGCCGCAGGAGAACACACACACAGTGCACAGGAGAACACACACACGGTGCACAGGAGAACACACACATGATGCACAGGAGAACACACAGTGCACAGGAGTACACACAGTGCACAGGAGAACACAGTGCACAGGAGAACACTCAGGTAGTGCACAGGAGAAAATATGCATAGGAAAACACGTAGTGCACAGGAGAACACACGGTGCAGAGGAGAACACACAGTGCAGAGGAAGACACTCAGGCAGTACACAGGAGAACACACAGTGCACAGGAGGACACTGCACAGGAGAACACAGTGTAAAGGAGAACACTCAGGCAGTACACAGGAGAACACAGTGCACAGGAGAACACTCAGGCAGTACACAGGAGAACACACAGTGCACAGGAGAACAC